CCTCCATCACTATTATATTGGTGATAGTTTTCACCTTTTGTTGTTATTTGATACGAAATCATGCTAAATAATAAAACTATTTTCCAAGAAAATTACATGTATGTTAAGAAAAGGCAATTTTAATATTATAAATTTTTAATTAAAATACTTAAAAGAAGTTTACAAAGTTGATTTAATGATTGAAATATTTTTTTTTAGTTGGACATGAAAGTTTCACTATAGAGTCATTATAATTTAATTTGACGGTAATTGAAGAGGCAACCAACAAATTTTTAAATAAGAAAAAAGATCAATGGATTTTGAGAAGTTTATAAGGTAGAAAATTTAAAAAAATCTTATTTTTATTTTCTCTTATATTTTCTTATTTTAACATAAATAATTATTTCAATTTTTACGATGATTTTTATTGATGGAATACCTATAATTGTAAAAAGGCTTTCAAGAAATTCTAAGTAAAGTGCAAAAAAGTTTAAAAATGAAGTTTTATAATAGTCAAACTTCAACATAGAAATCTAATGGTGATTAAAAGATACTATCTTGACAAGTATGATAAAATACTTATTTATGAATATGTGTCAAATAAGAGTTTGGACTACTTATTTGGTTGATATTTTCGATCTCTTTAGTTTTTTAAAGTCTATCTTTCATGCATTATGTATTTATGAATTTATGAATTTTAATGTATTATATTTAAACCTATTGAAATGAATTATTACAAAATGTGCATCACTTAATTTTCTCACATGACAAATATTTTTTGTAGATACTAAATTACAAAAGGTTTTGAGCTAGTTTCAGCATCACAAAAATCATTAGAGAAATTACTCGAGAAATTTTATATTTACATGAATACTCTTGGCTTAAAGTTATACATTGTGACCTTAAATCTAATAATATACTATTAGATAAAAATATGAATCTAAAAAATTTTAAATTTTGACATTGTTAGAATTGTTGAAATAGATTAACAACAAAGAAGTACAAATATAATTATTGAAACATAGTAAGTTTTGAATACTCATTTTTATATTTCTCATCTTTTTTTTTTTGCACGACATGTTTAAGATTATTTGCTAGTTTCCTTTAAATTTTTAGTAGCTATATGAATTTAGAATATGCTATGTTTGGACACTTTTATGAGAAATTAACTGTTTATAGTTTTGAGATTATGGTTCTCAAGATTATTTGTAGAAAAAAAGAATATAATTAAATTCATGTAATTAAAGATCTAGATAAAAAAATGATTTAGATAATATTTTAAAGATATTATGGGATTAGAGTTTGTACAATGAGTTTTTATTAGTCTAATTGTTTCATTGAGTGATTTACTAAAAAAAAATTAAAAGAGAATTAACTTAATATATTTTTTTATTCTCTTTATAAATACAAAGATGTATCTAATTGAATTAATCTTTATTGGCAAATTAGTTATGTTTAATTCAACTCATTACGTCCTATAAAATAAAAGAATGAAAGCAAAAAGAATTAATAATATTAAATAAATGAAAAGAGGGACATTAGCAAAGGCATGAGAGGAGGTAGTACGCATGTGCCAGACGCGCTCCAATATGCCCTTGTTGTGGCGAAAATTGCAGGACGTGGCAGTTGCTTCCTTGACAAATAATTTTTGGACTAAATTCATGATAAAGGGACTAAAATATACAATAATTAATCTTGTATTCAATTTTAATTATTATCATTGACAAATCAAAATATAAATTCATACCATAAGAAACTCTTATTGCCTTATATTAATTTCTTACTGAGATGATGCACAACAAGGTATAATAAAAAACAAAGAAGGAAAAGTTTAATTTATTTAACTTTTTAAACCAAATAATTAGAAGAAAAACATGTAAAATGTAAATTAATTTTAAAAGTGTATATTTATACATAAGAAGCGACAAAAAAATAATTTCACGAGACATTGTTGATGTAAACTATTTTTTTTAACAATGAAATTTTAATGTAAAATTACGTGTGAGTTATTCAAAGTCTTCACCACCTTCAAAATTATTCAACATGTTCAAAACTCAACTACTCCACCACATGTAATCCCATCTCAATTATTCTAATATCCGTGAATCTTAATTGAATTTCAGTCAATACATATATCATAGGTCAACATAAACACAAATTCTAAGTTCTCTTACCTCAATTCCAATCAAAAGAGATGAAGGAGGAAGAACAAGAAACCAAACTCCTTTAGGGAACTCTACACACTCAAAGTTTTGATTCACTGCTTTATGGACTTGAATCAACAACAACAACAACTCAAATCTCTAAGGGAGGGATCACACACTCACAAGAAGGTTAAAGGAATAAGAAAGGAAAACTTCGACTTTAGAGAATTTCTCTCTAGCTTATCTATTTAGGATTTTTAAGAATAAACTTATAAAACGTAATTCTTAAAAGAAATTTAATATACACTTCTTTTTTCATGATCAAACTATATTTCTAACTAGAGAAATTCTTAAAACTACTTAAGTTTTTGAGAATTCTTTAATTCTCAGAGTCTCTTATCAACAACTCCAAAATAACAGACCAAATAATCGTTTATAAAATATAATAATTAAGAAAAAAATCATACTTTTTTTGGTTCATCTTTGGAGTATCCACCCTCAATAGCAGTGACTAATCTCCTTACTATGTTGGAGGCACCTCTCGAAGGGTCTTGATAGTTGGCCCCAAGATTTAACGCGGCTGCATACACAATACAAGATTTAAATCTCTAACCTTACTTAAGCATGAATCAACCCTTACCGCTGAACCACACGCTATTAAAAAAATCATAGTGTTACATGAAAAGTACAAACGTGTCGTAATCTAATTTATGGTTAGATATATATTTAAAAGTTCTTCCTCTTTCCTTTCGACTTGCTTCTGGCGTGCTAGAGTGTGTTTTTATAATTATACACGCGCGAACCACGGCTATTGATTTGGTTCGGTTTTAATATAGAACTGGTTCACTGATATTACAATATTTTAATTCAGTTTTTAATATCAAATTGGTTCATTGAATCTATAAACAGTTTGATTTAGTTTGAGATTGACTTTTTTCTTGGAAATACAGATGAGGGAGAAAAAATTAGAAAAGAAAAAAATATATGAACAGTGTTTGACTTTTTTATTTTTATTTTTATTTATTTTTATTTTATTTCACTTAAACAAAACATTTTTACTTTTCTTCTATTTAAAATCATTTCCATTCATTCTATATATCTCTTTCTTATTTCTACGCACAATATTTTTATTTTGGACCACCAAAAAAAGACAATCATCCCATAGACATATCCATTAAAAATAATTTCTCTTTCCTATTTCCATTCTGTAATTAATTTAATAATTTAATAATTTCTTTTGTCACTTAGTGGATGTCATATCCTTTAAGTATTTATCAAGCATGGAGTGTCCAAAAATAGAACCTCAAAAGTAAACGGTTCAGTCAGTTCTGTGATCTTCAAAATCATTTTTCAGTTTTGTTAATTTTATTTTTTTTTGTCAATTTTAGTCAAATTTTTTTTGGAAAGTGTTGATGTTACAACATAAAGCAAAAACTGATAGGGAAACACTAATTAACCGTCTATTTGATTTAGGGTTTGGATAAACAAATTATTTAAAATTTTATTTAATAAATTTTTATATAATAAAAATTTATATCATAAATATTTAAAATTTAATAAATTGTTATATTTAAATATACATATTAATAAATATTTATTCAATTATAAAGTGTATATTGAATCAAACTAGATAAGCACCCCCTAATTTTGACATTTTCTAACTTTATATTCAACACAATATAAACTATCTATAAAAAATAATTATAGGTAATCAATAGTGGATAGACAACAAAACGATAGAGACATAATTGTTTTACTCACATATTCACAGATTTTTTTTTTTAAACTAATATATAGAGAGAGAGCTTTGACTAAAGATTAATTCTTAAAACTAGCTTACGAGAACTATTTAAAGAATTAATCTCTCACAATAAATATTATTTTAAATATAAGCATACTTTAAAAAATAAGATTATATATCTATTAATTATATCGGATCTTGTTTATACATATGCTTCATTGACTTTTGCTAATGCTTGCACCTATTTCTCACTGTCATGTTAAATATGTTGTTAACCGAAAATGATATATATATATATATTAAAGGAGAGACCTGTTTATCTATTTAAATTTACTCTGTTAAATAACTCATATTTTACATCAAATTTCAACAATCCAACCGTTGAATTTAAAGTTTTTAATGCACAGATTAAATCTGCAAATTTTAAAAAATTTGAAAATTATTTGATACTTTATTTTATTAATTTAAATTAATGTATAAAATATTTTTATGATTATTTATCAATTTAAATTGATGAAATAAAGTATCAGATGATTTTCAAAATTCTTTAAAATTTATAGATTTGATGTATGCATTAAGAACAAGTTAACGATTGAATCGTTGAAATTTCATATAGAACATGAATTATTGAACATGATAATTCTAGATAGACTTATTCTTAGAATAAAAGGATTCCTCTTATATATATATATATATATAGGAGGGATCATTTTACTCCAAGAGTAAGTCTACCTAGACTTACTCCGTTCAATAACTCATGTTCTGCATCAAATTTAAACGATCCAATCGTTGAATTTAAAGTTCTTAATGCATAGATCAAGTTTACAAATTTTTAAAAAATTTGAAAATTATTTGATACTTCATTTTATTAATTCAAATTGACAGATAATTATAAAATTATTTCATACATTGTTTTGAATTAATGAAATGAAGTATCAAATGATTTTTAAATTTTTTAAAAATTTGCAGATTTGATATATGAATTAAGAACTTTAAATTCAACAATTGGATCGCTAAAATTTAATGCGAAACATAAATTATTGAACAGAGTAAGTCTAGATAGACTTACTCATAGATATATATATATATATATATATATATATATCCATCATAACACACTAAGAACCATCCATTCATCCACCACTCACTCTATCCAAACAAACCCTAATAGAACCATGCGTTCCAATTCCTCCAACACCATCATCTCCCTTTGCATCCTCATCACCTTCTTCACTTTCACAACAATCATACAAGCACAGCTCGCCGACCCCGTTTTCGTTCAACAAAGCTGCAGTGCAAACCAAACCACCGCCAACACCGCCACTTACGAAAACAACCTCAGAACCCTCCTCTCCCTCATGGCTTCCAATGCCACCGCCACCAAATTCCACACCACCACAGTCCTCGGCACAACCTCCTCGGACACCTTGTACGGTCTCTTCATGTGCAGGCTCGACGTACCCTCCCACTTCTGCTTCCGCTGCGTGAGTTACGCCACAACGAATATATCCTCAGACCCAGAATGTTCCCTGTCCAAACACGGCGTTATCTGGTACGCCGAGTGCATGGTTCGGTTTTCCAACGTGGCGTTCTTCTCCACCGTGGACACTTCTCCCTCGTGGGACTTGAGCAGCTACGTGAATGCCTCCTCCAACTCGACGCGGTTCATGGGGTTGTTGTTCGACGCCATGAACCGAACTGCGGAAGAAGCGGCGAATTCAGGCAACAGGTTCTCGACGAAGGAAACGAACTTGTCGCTTTCGAAGACCCTTTACTGTCTAGCGCAGTGCACGCAGGATCTGTCGCCAGGAAACTGCTCAACGTGTCTTGGTGAAGCCATTGGGTACCTTCCGTCGTGCTGCGAGGGAAAGGAAGGAGGCAGAGTTGGGTTTCCCAGTTGTACCGTTTGGTATGAACTCTACCCTTTCTATGGCCTCGCCACCAATCAGACACCAACCAAAACTTCTCCATCACCAGGTTTTCTTATTACTAGTCATTTTTTAAGATGTGTAAATTTTCTTTTTACTATGGTAATACTTCATTAAAATTATTCCTCTTAAATCATCTTTTTATTAAATAAAAACTCAGTCTCTAAACTTTGAGACTTGAAGATTAATCACAGTTGTACTAATGAAAGTTAGTTAAATTAGCATATTAAGGAGTACTACCGATATATTTTCTAATAAATTCCATTTATCACACTTATTTTACAGGTAAAATCATTATAAAAAAATATATTAAAAAGTGTGTTGCTAGTATTTTTAAATATTTATTATATATAACTAAAATTTATAATAAATTATATATATATAAATAAGAATTATATTTTAATACATAAATTATATTTTTATATATTAATGGAATTGAAATACTTTGTATTTTAATATTTTATTTAATAAAAGTGT